CTTTGCATCTCGCGAGATAGACAGGCTGAACGGATGGCAAAGTAGATTCGAGGCACTCTAGCGAAAAAGGACCACTATGCATAATAGCATCCACAGCAATCTAGGCTGGTGACGTGATATTAAGCGCCAGCGCACGTTCTTTACAATACTAGTTTTTGACACCTGCAGCACTTTCTGTGGTGCATTCGCTCAGCAACATACACATCTCTGTACAGTGGATATCTGCCTCGGCTGAGGTGAACTCTCCACTGTTTGAGCGTTGGTGCCAAAACTACCAGAGGTATGTCGAGGGCAGGGTTAGAACCTGACCTGATGGTATTGTTGATTCAGTGATATACACTTCTCGAGTGAGAGATGAACGCAATAGCTAACAGAGCTCTTATGAATAACGTGAGGTTTCTGTGCTTGTGATAATGTGTACCTGAAGGTATGCTCTAGGATGGTAAGCCACATGATAACACACTAAATGTGTAGTACTCAGAGGCTGGTCACAGATTTACATTATGTATAGCATTCCTGACCATGCGTATGGGGACTAAGGAGACTGTCGAGTTTAGTTCCTTACAACGCGACAATCTACAAGATAAACACGTCATTTGGAAGATCCTCGCTATATAGCACATTCCAGATATCAAGTCATCTGTAGCCAACCCCTGTTTTTTTGTGGACGTATTATTAACCCTCGCCTGCGTGCATGCGCAGCGAGGGTTATTGCAGTTGGTCTGTCTGTGTGTGTGTGTGTGTGTGTGTGTGTGTGTGCGCGTCTGTCCGTCCGTCTGTCCACAGTTTTTCTCGGTAATCGCGGCAACTCGAGCGTCAAATGTGGAATATTATCAGAGGCATGCATGGTAAAATAGATTCTGGAGCGGAGAAGGCCAGGGAAGCTGGTGAAACGGACGGCTGCCGAGGTAAGTGTGCGTCAAATATAGATCGCGCGAACGATCGCTGTGCTAGATGCTTTGCGCATATTGATGGTACAGTTGAGCAGGAGCGAGATTGCTGGTGAAGTGACAGCAGCACACGCCCAGTGAATCTAGTTCAGTGAAGGAGTCACTTATGTAGTGAAGCTAGTAGCTGAATAAAGTGGTGAGGGTTATGTACTGTCAAGTGCTTTTCACTTTGCTGTAGTAGTAACTAGTATTGAACACGCACGTGCGAAAGACTGAGGTAGTGTAGCTACATGGCTGCTGAAATAAAGAATAAAGTGGCGAGGGTTATGCACTTTTAAGTGCTTTTCATTTTGTCAGCGGATACTTCGTTGCACCAATACTTGGCAAACAGCAGTACATCGCACATCTTCAGTGGATTTGCTTGAGGTCTTGTACTACAGTTGAAGCATATATAGCCAGATGAACTTTGCCATAGTCGAGGTTCACAGCATGTACTCTAGTAGGTAAGCTGTATTGTGGTCTTTACGTCTCTGGGAAAAGGCTTGAACGGTGGCAAATGTGTAGATTCGAGGCCTAGGCAAGGCTGTCTGCTCGTACCTGGCCTCGGTGTTGGCTTCAAAAGATATCTGCTACGTTCAAAATCGAATACAGCCACGAGAAGGTAGGGGTTAGGTGCAGATGACTAACTAGAACCTACTTACCAAAAGCTTTCCAATGACCTGTATACCTGTAGGTTGTCGCGGGGTAAGGCAGCAAACCCAGTGTCTTCCATAGATTTTTTCCGTAGAAAAAGCATTACGTAATTTGAATCGTACCCGTGGTTATTACGTAAGATTATGTCGTGTCCATCCTCTTCTGTGTAGCACTACTGCGACAATCATTGCAGGTAGCAGGTGCAGCAGTACCAACACTGCACGTGTTTCATTCGTGTGTCCCTCGAAGATCCGGCCACGTTACGCGTCAAGAGGGTACTGTACATGTGCATGCTGCCAATCATTGTCTGAATAATACTTGTATGCTAATAGGGTTAATCTTTATAGTAACGTGACGTTTAAAGTTTACTTACATACGTAGGTAATTATACTGTGCACCATAAATCATACACAGCTGAAGTCCGTAGTACGGTACTGTATATACCTGTGGCAGAGGATCCAGTGGTGGCGAGATGAAGTTCATCCAGTAGGCTCTCCTCATTCACCCGAAACACCCCATTTGGATCCTCCTCGTACCTTTAGTGAGAGATAGAGAGAGGGCAGGTGAATAGAGAAAGTGTGTGGTGTGTGTGTGTGGGGTGATTGAGGAGGGAAGGAAACGAGTTAGGGGAAGGATAGAGAAATAACCAAACTGTCAAAAAACCTTGTGTGACAAACTATACTGTACTCACCCCTCCTCTCCCTCCTCCTCGTCTCCAGTCTGCTCCTCGTGAAGGCTGCGGATATTGGGTGGAGTCTTTACTCCGTCTCCTCTGGAGAACTCCGGGGAGTCCGGTCTCTGCGATGGAGTTACTCCTAACAACATCTCGTCTGTATCAGAGAGACGGGACAAGTGAGTGTGTTGCGTGCTTGAATCAAGTAAACTTAATCTCGAGGATTTGACAGCATACACTCTGGCCACATGCTCTGCATAAAATAACGTATTAAATTCTAGCAGCTAATTTAAAGCTCTATCTTGCAAGCCTATTATAATGTACACAAGTGTGAGGTGAGCTGCCTCTGTACACTGTATGCTATTGGCACCCGACTCATGTAAATGAAAAAAAAATCACAATTTTGTACAATCAGTTTCAGAGAAAAGTGTTGTCCTAGGTGTCGCTACTTTTCACTTTTTTGCTTTCATACTCACTTTTGATTCATGGCTCCTAATGCTGCTGATATCTAACAACATTAGGCATTGTGGTAGCGTTGCACTGTAGCACTTGGGAAACAATATGGAAGGTGTCAACCAGCCTGGTTAGCTCAGTCGGTAGAGCATGGGACTCTTAATCCCAGGGTCGTGGGTTCGAACCCCACATCGGGCGCTCTCTTTTTTTTACCCCTACTAGTGTTTTCTTGTCTTCTCATACTGGAGGTTCTTTACTACACCTGCACTTTCTTTTTACGGTAAGGCTAGGTTCACAATATGTCGCATTGCCCTGTCACGAGGATAGAATCCATTTCTATATTCATGGCAGAATGCGACGTGGCAATGCGACAAATTGTGAACCTATGTAGCATAAGACTCTTGTACCTACAGTCCACAGACACCTTTTTTCACTTGCAAGCTCAGCCTGTACATACAGCATGCACTTACCCTTCAACCTTTATTACAAGCATACTATATGCAAAAGCATTGTTTATAAGAGGTATGTATACACAGCAGTATAGTTGTGAGTAGGGATCCTAAAGCTACATAATAATATACACTCTAAACACTATACAGATGTTTATGAAGAGGCTGACCGTCTTCGTCTGTGTCACCCTTGTTCCGTCTGTGAGGAGCAATGGGCAGAGTCCTCTTCTTCCGACCGCCTTGGCACCCGTAGCCATGAAGTCCTGGAACCCTCTTGGTCTTGTCGGAGATGACAGCCCCTCTTCTGACATCTTACTGTGGGGGCAGTGGGGGATATGTATGTAGGGAGAAGGAATACTCTTGTATTTACTGGAACGAATGCCACGCATTTTTGGCAAGCGAACGCGAGCAGTTCAATAGTTCGCGTGTGTTTTGTGCATACAGTATGTAGAAACACGTAGAACATTACGGTAGTGACAGCGCCCGACCGACCGATAGTTATAAACAGAAAATTCCTGCACTGAAACGACTACATACATAGGCTCTCTTCGCTCGCCAATTATTGCAGGGACACACACCAGAATGTGTATATACATACCACACCAAAACATGAACCATAAAGCTTGTACAGCCACAGTGCCACTTTCTTTAACATTGTGCCTACTCTCTAAATGGAAAATTCCTGACTACATAAATAGGCTCTCTTCGCTCGCCAATTATTGCAGGGACACACACCAAAATGTGTATTACCACACCAAAACATGAACCATAGAACCAAAATGCTACTTTCCTTAACATTGTGTCTACTCTCTGCAATCCATACATGTTGAACACACCTTCGTGTTTCTGACATTCTTCGTGCTGATAATGACTCCATTTGGTCATGAAAATTCTTGATCAACTGCAGAAACAGACATGTACCTATGCATGACTGTACAGGATGCAAATTTGTGCAGTAAATAATAATATGCTGAACGCCTCTAACTAAGTTTAGTTTTAGTTGAACTACGTAAATAACTGACTCCAATATTCTTGTCGTGAAGTCCTTTCTTTTCTCTCAGTAGATCCTCACATCTTTCCTCCAGCCTGTCAACTAATCATAATAAAAAACTTCTAACCACACAATGACAAGTTTTATATTTGCATAATTATGTATATCGAAGCATTCCGTAATGTTGTCTACAGTTACGAGGGTGAGATGGAGGTGAGCCAAAACTCTACACTATGGTCAGCGAAAAAATAATTACATCAGTCACAGAGAACACATGCATATAACACATATGTCAAGAGTTACATGTGTTCTCTCTGACTGGTGTAATAGAATTATTTATTTTTTCACTGACCTGTTCTGCTTCCCAGTCAACCAAGAATGCTTGGCATTATCAAGTCTGTGTATATAGGTGCACGTGCGTAGGTGAAGAAGAGGCGGCATTAGGCGATGCGCACACGTGTAGGCTATGCACTTGGTGCATGTAGGGTGTAGTAGGCGGTAGGCTAGGTGCATGCGCGTAGGTGCGTGTAGGTGTAGACTTGTTTCCTAGCTGACTAGTACTGGTTTCATCCAGTAGACTGATTAGCCCATTAACTCTGATACACAGGTCTACGGAAATCCCATATGGCAACTTGGCTTTACACGAGTGCACCAGGGGGACATGTAATCCCTCTATCTCTTCATTTGTCCCCCTGATGTTTAGGTTTATGTGTACGTGTATAATGTATGCACAATTCTACCATATACAGTAATGCTGTTCTTTCTGGCTGGCAGCTAATATGGAAGACATGTATTATGTTCTTCAGGGCTGGCAGGTTTGGGGATTGAATTTGAACGACGTACTGTATATTCCTATTACTTCTGGTTGGCAGATTAACATACATTGCTCCTTCTGGCTGGCTGGGTACTTTATATAGGGGACCTACTCTGTTCTCTCTGGCTGGCAAGTTTGGATCCCATTCCTCTGTTCTCAGACTGGACTCTGGCCATCAGGGACTTGAGCTCTCTCACCTCTCCCTCACTGACGTCTTCCTGCCTCATTGACTTCTGCTCTCAACACCACACAGAGGAAGAGAGACGGTGATGTTAGTGGTGAAAGAATCATGCACGACATTATGGTACAATACGGTTGACATGTATGTAGTACAGTGGCAGTGTCTGTCAAAACATTTATCCCCCATTGAGACGACTAGGTAGGCTCGCTTCACTTGCCAAAAAACCACGCTGTCATTAGTAGGATTCGAGCTCCGACACTGTACAGCAATACAGCATACCAATATGTAGATACATAGACAGATAGATACATAATTATGCAGGGGTAAGGATTCGAGCTCCGACACTGCACACCAGACAGCGTACTAAATACTGTAGATATACAGGGCTATGTAAGTACAGTATTACCTCTTCAATTTCCTTCCTCCTCTGCTTCTCTCTGTCATACTGCTTCATGAGAGTCTCGTTCTCTTCATTCACCTCCATCAGTGCTGCCAGGTGGTCCTGCAACATGTAGACACACACAACACATACAGAACGTCCCTAATATAGTCAATCATAGATACAGTACTGTACACATTATATACAATGGGCCAGACTAATTAAGTAAGGATGGCTGGGAAGCAGGGGCAGTGGTAACCTCAAATCAAGGACTTAGAGAGATCCCATGAAGAAGAATAGAGACGGATGTGGATCACAATGTATAGGTAGTAAGTAGAGAATGGCAATAGCGAGGAATGAGTGAAAGGGGTTAAATGGTTTAGGCAGCACCCACCCTGGTAAGTCAAAGGGGTTAAATGGTTTAGGCAGCACCTACCCAGGTAAGTCAAAGAGGTTAAATGGTTTAGGCAGCACCGACACAGGTAAGTCAAAGGGGTTAAATGGTTTAGGCAGCACCGACCCAGGTAAGTCAAAGGGGTTAAACGTAAATGCTCCACCCACCTGGTTATCAGACATAGCAGAGTCGAGGTTCTCGAGGATGTTGACGACGAGGGGCATTAGATTGGAGATGCTCTCCTGACCAAATAAGTCCATCAGTCCCTGGAGCTCGTCATAGATCCCCTGAGCCAATACCTGAGGGAACACCAGTATATTAACACACCACCGTTAGGCTTAACTACATACGTACATATCGTAAAACCCCTGAATAAAGGACACCTCTGATACCTCTTTATTGATTCTGCCCCATACCAGTCTATTTGCGCCACTGCTAGGCTTAACTACATACATATTGTAAAACCCCTGAATAAAGGACACCTCTGATTGGTTCTGCCCCATACTAAACTCTATTTGCGTTCACCTGAGCCCCTGAAGTGGTTGCGTAAACTGTTTTACAGGCACCACATACTTTACTTATGGCATACTTTTCTTATGGGACATACAGCTAACATACATAGTTAGTGTAGGATACCATCAGAACTGGACAGTATGTATGTATGTGTGCACATTGAGTTGCTACATATTACAAGTGCACAGTTGAGATGTGGACATCAGTTCCTTGCCGTTGCCAACATACAATTGGCCAAGAACCTTGTTCACCCACTTTGTCGCCAGCCAGCCATGACGGGAGGATTGGGTGTGGTTGAGCTGTCTTGGCCAGCAACGCAAGTCTCATACGTACTAAGCCGTCTGAATTGACAACTTCATATTCTATGTTGGTTTGTATTGTAAAGCAATGCATAAACCTGCTGAATTTTCACACTCGTGTTCGCCTGCCAATAATGTTTTGCATTCATCCATATTACAATACTGTATTAGTTGCAAAGACAAGTGGGGTGATAGTACCCACAAGCATCTCAAACGGTCCAATTAACAATAAACGACGTGCTACAATAGGAAAAGATGAGTTATGTAATATATTGGGAAAGAAGCAAAGGCTTTTCAAATGACTAGAGTGGCAAGAACTGGAAACACTCTTTTACCCAATGTATAAGTGCATTCAAGTTTACTATTCTACAGTAGCTACATTACATGTACATATGTAATGCAGGTTTAATTGGCAGAAACCTTTGGCACAATGTCCCTGCCAAAATGAACATAAACAGTGATCTAAAACTTACACCGCATGGAACACTACCCGTTTAAAGAGAGTTTCATTCCTTAAAAGGGAATGTGGCAGTATAAAATAAGGGCGAAATTTAGAAACTCACTTGTATTCTGTCACTGTGCCCCTATTGTTTTGTTCTATCTTTCGTACCATTTCTAAATATACTGCCACATTCAAATTTAACCATGTATACATGTGTTTAGTATTTTGATGTTGAAGATCCGACTGATATGACTGAAGTGGGATTCCAAAAGTGAAAGTGTGTACATATGTGGGCTACAACACAGGTGGCATACTACAGTATATACATGTTTCAGAGTCAGCAAGTCCTACACATTGAGTAGGCAGATACTGAGAGGAGCAGGAGTTGTAAATTCCGAACCTATGTACATGTATGTACTACACTAGGTTGGTGAGTGAACTCAGAACATGATGACATATATAATTATACTGGTGTGTGGTGTCACATTACCTGAACTCTTTCACTGACGACAGGGGAATCCCCTTCCTCCCCCTCTATGACATCATCAGACATGGTGACTTCTGTCTGCAGAACGAGAGAAAGAAAGGCTGGGTTCAAATAGACTGCCCCGTTACGCCACATCGTAATGTCTAGTCTCGCTACACAGTAATGCGGAAATGCAACAACTATTACTAAAGACCTGGTCAAAGAGGCTGTTGTGTCAATTTTACAGCATATGCAATGCATAGTGCATCAATTGAGCCAAGATAAAATGCAGAACCCTGTGGGAAAGTGCTAGTACTGTATATACGTTAAACTGTACACCATGACTATACCCACTATTCACATGCTATATAATATGCCTAGGAATTTAATCAACATTCGGAATTGCATACATATCCACATTACATGCAGTTTTTACATTGCCCAGTGTACATGTGTCAGCAGTGTAAGAGTCCTGCAGAATGTATGTCAATGGTAGTATATACAATAGTAGACAGAGAAAAACAAGGCCACTCCCTGGATACCAGGTAACCACAGAACAATGTGGTGACAGACACCCACCTGCCTTGTACCACAACACCCAGCCTACATCACTGACATGACTACTGTACTTAACGACATATCACATTCCACTTATCCCAGTGGTGGCAGAGCTGATGGATCCTTTCGTACCTTTCTCCTCTCCTTCTCACTTAACCTACACTCCTCACTATTCTTTCAGTCTACCAGGCTTGAGATCGGGAGCGAGGTGCACAATTTACACGCATTAAACTGCCAGTGAATAAATCCATCCCATACATACTGAGTGAGAGTTTACTGTACCATAGTATAGTGGTTTGAGGTGTGCCTTGTGTTGTGTTGTGTTGTGTTGTAGATTCGAAACCAACTGAGTTGCCCTGGTAGCTTAGTTGGTAGAGCGCTCGCCTAGACTGCAGAACGTCGCGGGTTCGAATCCCACTCAGGGCAACTCTTCTTCTTTGCTTTGAAAAGAAAGAGCTGTCCTGGGTGTAGTGGACTTGTTTGCCTTGCCTTGCCTTTCTACCTCGCTATATACCAAGTTGTTGAGTCATGCGAGTGCTGTACCTACTCCTACAGTTTTACAGCCATCCAACAGTTTCCCCCCTAAAATTGCTAGTGTAAATGTAGGTGCAGTATAGGCATTTTGGTATACAAAACTGAAAATGGCTCTGACCAAATAAACAGTAAACATGACCTTGTCCATTAGATAAACCGATCCACCCTGCAACATACACTCCACTGAACAAGCAACTCCCTACAGGACATTGAGATATTGCTCAAACCTTTAAGGCTGCCATCCACACTATAAACCTGCTCACATGTACATACTGAATGCACATGCATAGTTATACATACATGCAGTACTGCAATCCATGCATGTGTAGTACACATGAATGCACTACTAAACTGAAGCCTGCCTGTGACCCAAACATATATCCTGTCCTTCCCCTCAATAACTCAACCCTCCATCCAGACTTTCCCAGCCATGAAATGATGCAATACTTTACTCCTGACACATATGTGACACAACAAGGAGAGAGAGGAAGGAAGGATAGCACAACAAAGGAAAGTGACTTCCTGTCCAGGATTCTCAAACCCAAGAAGCCTAACCAGATTGAAGACTATCAAACCAATCATCTCTCTGTTCACCCAATACTCACATTGTTCACGAAACTTCAAAATTCCCAGATTGCACATAGTTACGTACAAACGTGCAAAACCCTTGTTTGTACACATCTCTCTCCCTCTTTCCCTCTCTCTCCCTCCCTCTCCAGCAGAGTTCATATGATACATAACTGTATCGTCACTCCTACACACATTTGCTACTGACACTAATCAGCCCCACCTTGTCCTCGACCCTTTCACTTGCACACACATAGCTAGGAAGGTCAGCAGACTAGGGTAAAAACCGCTGACCACCGTCACGTATATATCTGAGAGCCATGGCTTGCCACTACTTACTGAAAGAGTGTCGGAATCCAGAGTGTCTGCCTCTAGGACTGTTACAGTACATGCTCTAATGTACGTAGCTATGTAGCAAGCTAGACTCAGAGAGCTATTTGCGATGTTGATCTACCAGCTGGTTTAGTCAGGGGAGAGTCAGGGCTGATCTACACACCTTGTATAAGGTCTGGATGCTGTTCACACCTCAGTATCCTGCTGACTTTGGCTTGAGACTCCTCACTTCTAGACAACCGGACCGGCTCTCGCAGGAACGTACGCCAGATTGGTTTTGGGCGTGGTTTAGGCGCATGCTTAGCGCATGCGCAGTTTCGTATGCAAGCCCCCACATACATCGGCTGAACCCATGCCTAGTATATACAGACTGTCCAACCGTCCCGATTTGTCCCGCTTTAGAGGCTTGTGTCCCGAGTCCCGCGTACTACCTGTAATGTCCTGCTTTCATAGTTTCCAGAGGACAATTGCGCGACCCCGCCCCCTTATAAAAGGACACGCCCAGTTATTACGTAAAATAAGCGCGCGCGCGCGCGCGCGAGTAGCCATTTTGCGCCTGCTGCGCGTGCGCGTACCACGTACTATGTCGATATGCGCGTAGCCAGCCACGTGTTGACAGGCAACGCAGAGCCTCGCGCGGAGGTTTGAAATGGTCACCTTACGCTGGCTAGCTTATAAATTCCGGGACATTATTGCTATTTTGCCTCGACTGGGACACCGCCGGGACAAGGCCTAAACTTCCGGGACTGTCCGGGCCATTCCGGGACGGTTGGCAACTATGCGCCGCGTTTACGTACTGTAGCACCAGCACGGAATGCACGCGGGCACTCTGAAGAGAGAACGCGGACCAACTTCGCGGTGTGCATTGCGCGTGAATAGTCAGTGGCGGAGCTACGAACCCTGCGTAGAATTGAGCGCGAAGTGCGCGCGCGATTGCATGCGTTGCGATCTATCCGCCTCCGTTCGGATTGTGCACTGATAGCTGGCACCGCAATAGCTCGATTGCGTTCTCTAAGCTAGGGAGCTGGGCAACGCTCTAGCTGCATTGTCGTCGATTCGATCTGCACCGTAATAAATTCCGTTTTATTGAGGCTGGACAGTCTGCTAGTAGTATCGTCACTGTTAAAAATCTCGCTTCCAGGTAGGCTTTAGTACTCTCAGATACTTTCTCCTCCAGACTTGAACTTTGAGTGCGTCCTTCACAAATCTATTTGTGGCAGTCTTTCAGTGGATTCAGTAGCCGTTTTTTTAGGTTCCCTTTCTATAACTGCATGGATACTGTGTGATTGTAAATGGTGAATCTGGAATGTGACTATCGTCTATAAAGTTACGACGAAAACAATAGCTTACTGACAGGGATAGGTCATCAATTGTTTAGTGGTGTCACAATAGTTATGAACATTTTCCGACGCCTGGCAAGGCACGCGTAACACGGCGCAGATTGCTCCTCGTGCAAATGAAAAGCATAACGCAAGCTAGCTACTTACAAATGTTTACACTGACTTACAGAGGATGAGAGTAGTTAACCCTCGGCGCGCATGCGCAGCGAGAGTTACAGTACTTGGGTCTGTCTGTGTGTCTGTCTGTGTGTCTGTCTGTTACTCGTCATCTCACTTCTCGAGTGTTCGTTCGTCTCACAAAGGATACCACCTACTGAACGGGCAATGAAGGTCAGAATTTCGAACGGTTTTCCTTGAAAACGCTCCGTTGCGAAGCTAGAGCGCGAAAAAGCCAATATGCAAATACACAACGGACGGGATGGCTTACCGGGGTCTGATCAATCCGCGTGCTTTGCGTACCTCGGAGGCACCAGAAGATGCAACGCAGGGCGTGTATCGCCTCTCCCATGCTATCTAGTAGTGTAGTTAGCCCGCGTCAGACTCTGCGCGAGCTGGCAAGAGACCGCGAATAACAGCTAAAACTAAACCCAGCCCACCAATTAATGGTACGGTGCATGCGTTTACTTATGCGTGCGCGTCACAGTGCTCCGAGGGTTTGCACTTCAGTGCTTTTCATTAACCCTCGGCGCGCATGCGCAGCGAGGGGGTCTGTCTGTCTGTCTGTCTGTCCGTTACTCTACATCTCACCTCTCAAAAGTCTGTTCGTCTCACAAACGATACCACATGCTTAACGGGCAACGAAGGTCAGAACGATCGGACAGTTTTCTCTGAAAACGCTCCGTTGCAAAGCTAGAGCGCGAAAAAGCCAATATGCAAATACACAACGGCTTTATACTACGGCACGATCGATCCTCGTGCTCTGCGTACCTCGGAGGCACTAGAAGATGCAACGCAGGGCATGTATCGCCTCTCGCATGCTATCTAGTAGTGTAGTTAGCCCGCGTCAGACTCTGCGCGAGCTGGCAAGAGACCGCGAGTAACAGCTGAAACTAAACCCAGCCCATCAATTAGTGATACGGCGCATGCGTTTAATAACGCGCGCGCGTCACAGTGCGCCGAGGATTTTCACTTCAGTGCTTTTCATTTTCTCTGCAGGCATCCAGTCCTGGCTTAGTCTCGTTCGTGGACCTGGTTTACGAGACAAAATGCGCGCGCACCGCATTGGAAACGCCCTCCTGGCCTCGGCGCATGCGGCTCACTGATGCTGAGTTAGCAGCAAATGGTGTTGTACCGAGGAAGAGCTCAACGATCTACCCTAGTGACTTGCGGCAAGAAACAAACGATCTCTTGATATGCGTGCACACCTCCGGCAAATTCGGAGACGTTCTGTGAAAAAATCAACGCTTCAAGTGCTTCCGGTAGCTAAGGAGCTAGCGGGTCTGAAGAAGAAGAAGATGATGAAGAATAATTATGATGATTATGATGACACGAAAATCGCGAAATCGCGTAAGAGCGAATTCTCTCGTTGGGAACTGAGGGTACGTAAGAGGCATATGTTGCTAATGATTTTGAAGCCATGCTGAGTCATTCTCACCGGGTTTTGAGGCGCGGATCACGTGAGATTTCACCCGTCATATAATATAATATACTACTTTTTTCGCATAGCATTGCAGTGGCGGATTTGGGATTTTGAAAGGGGGGTTCCGCTGTCAAGAACGTTTTCGTGTGCACGCACGAGGCAGGCGACATGCACATGCGACAAAAAGGGAGTTCCGCGGAACCCAAGGAAACCCCCCTGGATCCGCTACTGCATTATAATGCGACCATGTTGAGACTTATACATTATGCTTTTTTTTAAATAGCAGTCACGCTATTCATCGCTTCAAGGATTTATGCGCATATATGTATACATTAGTTGATTTGTCTCTGTGTGTGTGTGTGTGTCGACGCTTATTCTGGCACTACAGGCTACGAGGCCTATTAGCGATACCAGCGGCTTCAGAACTACGCGAGCCTTCCTATGTAGCATCACACGTCTTTAGGCCTTTTTAGAGAAATGTAAGTGGGTAAGCGCTAGCAAAGACTGTACCTTTCCACTGGGTTACATCAGATTTAGTAATGTAAGTGGGTATATATGCCCTGGCACAGATAGCGCTCTTCACTGGGTAACCTCAGATTAATACTGCAAGCACATAAGTGCTGACACAGAAAGCTAACAGAGGATGGCGTAATGGACCCTTTTACAACAAATTTTGGAAAAAGCCCCACAGCCGTGGGGCTAATCTTCTAGCGGTTTTAGCAAATGTGCAATGCGCTTCCTATGTAGCATTGCATGTCTTTAGTCAGAGAGATGTAAGTAAGTTAGCTTTCTTCACTGGGTTACCTCAAATTATTTTTGTTAACCCTCGGCGCGCATGCGCACCGAGGGTTACTGTCTGTTTCGAGTTCTCGCACTACAGGCTACTATGAGTAGCACCAACGGATTGTGAACAACGATAAGACGGATATTAACGTGGGATTTTCCTGAACAAGCGAAAAAGCCAACGCGAGGTCGATGGCGCACGCGCCCTCTCCGGCAGGCTATACGCAGGGCGCACGCGTCACGTCAATTTTTTCCGCCGGAGCATGCGCTACGCCATGTTGGTCGTACGTATCCACGGGCTTCTGTCAGTTTTTATCTCTGTTTCAGTGGATAAACATGCTGAGCAAGGTATGTTCGCAATGTAGTATAGTAGTTCAGGTGGCGAGCATGCAGTTTGTGGTTACGGCCATACCTTCCCATCTATAAAACGTCTGGCGAGAGTATTGAAACACAGAAGTACGGATAGATTGAATAAAGCAAATATGGGAGCCTCTGAAACACCTGAGCAATTGCTCTAACCGCTAATGCAACTACCCTGCGTAACGGTTTTACTAGCTCCGTCGATGACGCATGATGACCCAGCATAATAACTCGCGCGTTTAGCGCCGAGGGTTTGCACTTTAGTGCTTTTCATTTTGGAAATAGCAGTCACGCTATTATGCTACTCGCTCTTCATTGCTTCAAGGATTTATCTGCGCATGTACCTCGTAATTAACACATGTTTGAATAGCAAAGAGTCTTCAATGAGTGCTGATCTATCAGCTAGGAGTAGATGAATTAGTGGGTGAGTGAAGACTGTCACTAGAGAGTGGGGTAGGAAGCAGAGGAGGCAATGCCACACTGATTGTACTTGTCCCTCGACATCATTATGTAGCCTTTGTTGCCCCAGTATTCACCCCAGCTGTAGAAACAAAGGCATCAGTGCAAAAATCCATACAAATACATTTTGTCATGCGTGAGGATTTCTACAAGATGACACCTGTAAATAATGCTATTGAGGCTTATTTCCGGTGTCAAAATAATATCTGCTATTCGGGAACTTTGTCGTAGTAGGGAAGAAACTGATAAAGTATAAGACATTAAGGTTACTAGACCTGCTTCAGTCAATGTCACAGCACAGTAGACACCAGTAGAGACAATGAAATATTCGTAAACTGCAAACTCTCCATACTATTGTACTATTATACCAAGTTCACAAACAGAATTTGTGATACCTGTTTCTGACGAGCCAATATTTCTGGTCATTGAATATGCCATAGCCAGTGATGAGGACCCCGTGGACAGCATTGCTCTCTGACCAGTGACTCACATCAAGAATACCACTGGAGTAGAACTATACAATACAGAATATTGAGTTTTAATTAACAAATACACATACACATACTTGCACAATGCTGGTAAATTGTGCGAAATCTTAGTGCTGTGCATAGTTGGTGCCTAAGTGATCAAGAGAAAAGCACTGATGACGTGTGCACAACCTCCTCTGCCATACCCGACGAACATACGTCCACGCGCAGATGTGCGTGGCTACTCTTTCTTTGATGCAGACTTTCATTTAAAACTGTTAATGCTACTGCTGACACACATACAAGCATGGTTTACGATTTTGACTGGAGTTCAAAGAGTGTTGAATAGTGTGGCTATGATATCAAAATGCTAGCAACCTCAAAAAGCCTACCCACAAAAGGGTGTTTCTAGCTGGGTCTGACCCTGAAGGCATTGGCGGTGGCATCAACAGCAGCGGCCACTGGTCCAACAGTAGCCACAGCCTCCATCAGTTGTTTCTCGTCTCCTTGAGATATCTTGACAACCCCTGACATGGCTCCATACTGCGGACTACCGCTTGCCACACACGTTCCTTGCTGTGTGACAGTGACAATACAACAGTCAGATGGGGGGGGGGGGGGGGGGGGGGGGGGGGGGGGGGGGGGGGGGGGGTGGGGGGGGGGGGGAGGGGGGGGGGGGGGGGAGGGGGGGGGGGGGGGGAGGCAGGGGGTTGGGTGTGTAGGAAGGGGGGGGGTGGTGATGGGTATGGTTTCTGTTTCTTCTCTTTCTTCACTTTTTCTTTGTTTTTGTG